AAACTGAACACTGTAAGAGGACTACTTGATTAAGCAAATCGTTTAAACATTGCTGCTTCCCAGCTGGGGCATTTTTGTATTGTGTTTTTGGTGTTCTTAATTTATTGTCTAGTTATGTTAATAAATTCACTTGATTTGGTGTTTTTAAAGGTGTTTATTTGTGTTGAGTTTGGGTCAGTGTTGGGATGTTGTTCGTCCCATGTTGCCACCAAAGGGTGGGACGTAACAAATGGGGGCTCGTCCGGGATAGAACAACCATGAGGTGAGATAAAGCTGTGCATCTGATGGCCTTGAGTGTAGTGGTTGTCTCTTTTGTTAGAATATCTGTAAGTTGTGGCTACATGTTGTGCTTTTGACTGGGGTAACTCAGTAGCTTGGGAGTTTTTGCTGTTGAGCACTCTAACTAGGTAGCCACCGGGCAGGTTTAAAGATCTTGCCACTTTGTTTTTTTGCCTTTCTTATTTTTGGTGGCAATTCTGAGTGGGGGCACGCTTCAGTGGATCGCAGATGGCTACATCTGTGGCCTTCGGTGATGCACTGAGTTCAGCGTTTAAAGTCGCCTCGAGCTCGGCAAGCCACTGAAGACTAGCTAGATTAGTTTAGCCATCTTGGTAGGTAGGTTGGGGTGTCTCTATGCAGCTTGTTTTCCCTAGCACTATGCACAACAGCTTTAGCTATTTGTTTGAGATGACTGCTTTGTTTGGTCACTTCTCTTCCAGCTGTGAAATACTCTTGTTTGCAATAACTTGTGGATCGTGACCCATTGTTTAGTGGTAACTGTACTCCACATTTGGTAGGTCACTCGTCGGTTGCTTCTTGGGTGTAAGTTGGCAACATTTGTGTGTAGTTTACTACAATGTGACCATTTTGTGTTGTGGTTGTTGCAGTCCACTTCTGGTGTGGTCACACGTGTGTTATTGCGGTTGTGTATTTAGTTACAGAACATTAATTTTAGTTTTTTGTGCGTTTGGGATGTGCTAACACCACAGACCTTTGGATTTAAAGTGGTGGGGGTATCCTCCCAGTTCGTCAGGTTCGGTTGTGTTGCTGGTTTCCTAAATCCTCAAGTAACCAGGGTATGTGGTTGATGACCACATGGTGCCCATATTGTGTTGCGACAGTTCACTTTTGTTGGGTCATGGTGTGTTGCTGTTTGTGTATGGCAGCTACCTTGTAGTTGGTCTACTTGTGTTGACCCTTTTGGTGTGTGGCTGTTGTGCTCCACTTTTGTGCGGGTCACCAGTGTTACAGGGGTGTAGGTAAATGCAGTAACTTGTGTCTGGTTTTGTGGTCTTTTCACCTCACGATAGTGGCCAATTTGTGGAAGTGGCACCCGCTGATTTGGCTACAAGTGTGGTTGCTGTTCTTAAGCTCCAGTGCCAACTTAGTTATCCCTTGCATGTGGGATGTTCCACATTTGACCCACGTTCACTTTTTTCTTTAGTAAGCTGCAGTAATACCAATTTGGTTGATTTTAATTGTCTGCATATTGAGGCTTGAAGAGTTGCCATGTGGGTGCTCTCAGCAACATTGTATGTGCCTACTTGAGTGCAAACCTGGATTAGTGCACCTGTGAGGTGTTGTCTCGTGGATTTATTTTTGTAAATTTACTTGGGTTTACCTAAACATACAGCCTTGGTAAGTCATACCTCAGTTCGGTCCAGTGCATTCCTAAGAATAACTTGTCACAGTGAACGCTTGTGAGCTATATTTTGTCCATGTTGATGTTGTACATGTGATTGTGTGACAATAAAGTTATTCTTTGTTTTAAGGGTGGGGGTGTTACGGCTGTATGTATTTCCCTGTGCTGTGTCCATGTTTTCTGTCCTTCAGTTCTGTTGTGGGAGTGCTCCAGCTAATTACCGAATAAGGTCCACCTGGCCTTTGAAGGCGGGCTTTAAAAGCTGCTGTGCAAGTGTCAGGAGGGGACCCTTCTTGATTTGGTACTGCTAGCCTTGCTGCTTCCCAGCTGGGGCATTTTTGTATTGTGTTTTTGGTGTTCTTAATTTATTGTCTAGTTATGTTAATAAATTCACTTGATTTGGTTGTTTTAAAGGTGTTTATTTGTGTTGAGTTTGGGTCAGTGTTGGGATGTTGTTTGTCCCACGTTGCCACCAAAGGGTGGCATGGGTATAGATTTGTATAGTAGTGATTCTGTCGCGAGCATATGATGCATTGAAGCAGCTGATCACTGTAACCCTGATCACTACAAGGGGTTTCCACTGTATTGCAGATCCGTAATGTTGGAATAGCTTATAGCTTGTCTGTGTAAGGAATGAAATGTTTCTCTTGTAAACTCACTTTAACTTTTGTTTTTTTTGGTGTGAGGCTCTGCTGCAAACACTTTTAGCAACATTCATTACCATGGTGTACAATTTTTAAAAAAAAAGACATTATCCTGCTAACCACGGGCCCTTGGATGGAATTAGGCAGAAGTCCCAGTGGAAGATGGAGCTGATTAAATGTTTTCCTAATTGAGAGAGCCAAACTAATTTGCAATGAATCCCAGATCTTTTTCTTCTGTTGCATGAGAAGAGCTCATTAATAAACTCTGTCTAATTATAAGTTATGATTAAAGAGGGTGGTTTATTTCAACAGGATACTTTGGAGAAGTTCTCAAAAATACTTGCATTTGGTTGGAATTAATAAGGAGGGGATCTTGTACTCCAGTTTGATATTTATTCTACACAATTTTAATGAAATTCTAGACGATCATAAAATAAATCTATTAATAATCTATTTTATGTTTAAAAGAAAGAAACCTAAGAATTTCACACGTCAATCTAGCAAATTAACAATATGCCTTACCCACCCAGTGCACAGCATCAGACCTTTTTTTTTTTTACCTTATTGCTTTTGCTGTAACTGTGTTCCTGTGGCACCATCTGCAGGATCCAAAGGGAGTATCAACACTTCCTTTAGCTTGAATGCGGTGCAGGGATCACTCTGTAGCTGACTGTGAATCTGCAGATGCAAATAAGGGGTGTGACAGTATCCAGATGGAATATGGTGACAGTGATTAATAAGAATATTGGTAATAGAGGACATTTTGACTTGTTCCACACTCTGATCACTGATAAGCTAAGACTTATTACTGATGAATGTGGTCAGACAACAAGTGATGTTGGAGCATGACCTGTGAGGTTCTCCCTAATGGACCTGCAGAGAGACTTCAGAGTGATAAATGAAACTTTACTAAAATATTTTTTCAAAGGCATCTTTAATTAAGCGGAGCTATACAGTTAATTATTCAATAAGTTTCAGTGTTCAACTGACACATTGTTATTTCCAATGAAATGCTCATGTTCTGGCTCCTTTGGTCTTTCAACATTCAAAAACTTTTAGTTGAGTTTATGTCATTTTGCTCACAGAATCACAAACTACATTTAGATTGGGACTTTTTTTTAATGTACAAACTTTTATTTTGTTGTATAGGCTATTTGGTCATGTCCAAGGTTAACTTTTCATTATGAAAATTAAATTGTGGTAGTTACATCAACAGATTATAATGATTTCTCAACAGATGCAAAGTCTTGGTCTTGATCCAGCTAACTGTCAGTAGCTTTTAGCAGCTAAAGTAGCCAGATATTTAACTCAGAAGTTGAATATTGGACTTAAATTTGTCAGGGGGTCAGTTTCTGCTGAATGTGGGAAAAGGCAACTGCTCTCTCACACACAGGCCATATCAACTTAAAAAGTAATAATGAGTGCAGGTGGTGCGCGGTGGTGCAGTGGAGTGGTTAGCTCACAGCAAGAAGGTTGCAGGTTTGAACCTTGGTCGTTCCAGGCCTTTCTGTGTGGAGTTTGCATGTTCACCCCGTCACTGCGTGGGTTCTCTCCGGGTGTTCCGGCTTGTCCAAAGACATGCGGCCTAGGTTAATTGGGGACTCTAAATTGTCCTTAGGTGTGAATGTGACTGGTTCTTTGTTTATGTGTGGTCCTGCGATGGACTGGCCATTTCACCCAATGTCAGCTGGGATTGGTTCCAGCCCCCAGTGGCCCTGTACGCAGGATAAGCGGCTGACGATGGATGGATGAATTTACAGTTACAATTGCATTGCAGGTGTATTTGATTTTCAGTTGCATTATAATATATTTGATGATGGTTATTGCATTAAAATATAGCTTTTTTTTACCAGGCGAGGATGAAAATAAAGTTATTCCTGATTCATTTTGGGTACAGGTTAACTTCAACCTGAGTAATGGTCCAATCAATCAGAATAACATCTGTTTCTAAAGTGTATGTATCTTTCCATAATGTTTATGAAAGTTGTTTCATATGACTTTCTTTACCATTTAAAAGATATTAGGGGGTTCAGAGGCTTCTTCATCCTGATAAAAATCCAATATGGCAAGAAACAGGATGAAGCAGCTCAGACTTAAACATACTGGGAACCAATGGCTATATCCGGCCTCAGTTTCACAAATCCATATTGGTCCATATCTGTTCAAAATTCACGCAGACCAAACGGCATTACTTTTTTCATTGTTTTATTTTCTAAGGCAAGCTGAGTTTCCTCACTCAACCCCCACATGAAACGCACAACATTCAACACAGAAATGTAACTATGCATAAATGGGAAGAACCGACACGAAACATTTACAAAATAAATTAAGGCAAAGATTTGTGGGCAAGATATGACAATAAAGTAAAAATGTCCTGCAGTTTCATTACTGATAAGGCAATGATCTGTGGCTTCATAACAATAAGAAACCATGCTTGAGCTTGTGACACATTAAATGCTATACTACAGGGGGTATCTCATTTTTGCAAAAATTATTACTTTCTAGTGTGATTTATACCTTTTATTTAGCATTACTTTACATCACCATTTGGGCATAGTATGATGTACTGCAAAGTCAAATGACTCAACTGTGCAGCGTTAATATGTAACAGACAGAGACACATGTAAAAATGATGAGACTAATAACTATTCTAACTCTGGTGCTGTAGTCAACTTGCAGTCATAACATTTCTTTTCATTTAAAAATTCAGGACCCACATTTGTTCATTGTATTTAGAAATGTAGAGTTAAAGCACCCCGATATAGTAGTTTCCCAACAACAGACAACATGGAAACAACCTGAAAGCCTCCTCACAAGAACCTCAACTCACAACTTCAAAAAGATACTGAAATATAAGGCAGAGTGATAACTGATTCCTTTGTACGATACTGGCATCCCACAAACACAAAAACATGCTAATGAATTTTAAAAAGTAATATAACAGTGAAACAGTAGAGACATAATGTGTTTCTGGTTTAACAAATGATTGTCATTTCACTCTTGAATAAATAAACATCATGCAGTCTAAGTAGGCTCATCGCACCCAGCAGCATTAATGTCAAACCCTTCATGATAAAAATTTATTAGCATATGGTATTGTTTTTATAAAATAGGAAAGTAAAATTGCTCATGGTAAGACTTAGATTATGGATTTTGTCATGAAATCATTAATCTCTGTAATTTACTAATAGACAGTAGGGGTAGGGGGTCTCAGCACAGTATGGTGCAGGGTTAAGATGCAACAACGACAAGCACATTTCTCTAGACTAAGACAGAGCAGCTGGGTCTTGTCCTGTGGTATTTATTGTAGTGGGATAATCGCGTCAAAAGACATTTTTACTTGGCTACTAATATTAACAATGGATCTGTTACATTTCAGTGTCCTAGTAAGACATGTCAGTGGGCCAGCGTTCACAATACAATGTCCGTTGAACTGCAACACTTAAGTGGAATTGAGTCTAAATTGTTATTAGTTACCTCTGTGTTTGACAAGTTGTCCACCATGAGAAAAGAAATGGTAAAGGCAAATTAGAAGCAACAGGCAACATTGACCACCACCTCCTTAATGTAGATTATACGCTTTAAATGTTTGGCTTCAGCATACAAACAGGTACAAACCTAAACCGATGGCAGAGCTAGTAAAAAAAAAAAAAAGTATATAAATTTCATCCCAAAAATCAGGCATTTTAAAAAGGGGATCATTTGTGTTAGAAAAAAATTAAATAACTAAATAAATAAAAAAGAGGAAAGTAAAGGACATCATGGGCTCTATTTTCATGTCAGCAAACACTACAACAAGTAGCACGATGCTATGTTGCAATTTTCCCCACCTGACCACAGGGTAGGATTTTCTGTCAGAGCAGCAACAAGATGGGAGTCCCAAGCAGATGAGGCATTGCAAGGCAAAGTGTTTGATTTTGGGGGGGGGGGTCATTTGTTATTCTATCTGTAAGTGCCAACTAGTGACATCAGAACCCTTTAGAGCTTTTCAGTCTGACACTGCTATTATGAGCAATAACAGCAGATGCACCATGACCTACAGTTTGTCTGCTCTTTGAGAGTGCCACAGGAAAATAGAGCTCTAATGTGTTTACTTCACAGCCTACTAACAGCCTTTTGGAATGAAAGCCTTTCAGATAATAAATATTCATAATAATGCGTCTAATTTCCGTACACTGCAGAAGTCCTGTAATGAGTTCATTCAGGCCTGTTACGTCTCCTGAGGCCCGGCGCAGGCTGCTCCGCTCCAACCTCCTCAATGTTTTTCTCATATGACTCCTCTAGTGAGGGCATGAGCTCAGAGTCCTCCAATCCCTCTTCCTCCTCCTCCTCCTCCTCCACAGCAACCTCCTCCTCTTCCTCTACGTGTCCTTCTTCCTCTGCTTCCCTGTCAGAATCCTCCGGTATGAGCTCCTTCATCTCTTCGCCTTCTGTTGCCGCTTCATCTTTGGCTTCCAAATGCTTTTGATAGATTTTCTCCAAAACCTCTGTTGCTCCTGCAGAGGTGTGCTTTTCCACCATGGAAGCTTTCACTGCCGTGGTGTCGTCAGCGCCGAGTGACTCAATGAGGTCATCAAGATTACGCCCACATGATGCCTCTGAAAGTCACAAAACAAGTGATATAAAGTGAACCACATATTTTATTGATAAATAGCCCAGCTACCTGCACAATAAAGTCCCAGTCTTAAAGAATAGCCTGACAAAAATCAAATTAAGGCCTGATGATGAAAAGCCTGGTAAAAAAACTATTAAATATAGTATAATATACATTTCCATCAGCACAACAGTATGAAGATATCATACTCTGCTGTTTCTCATTTTAATCAGAAATACTGTTTTAGTTCACTAATTGATTTCACTCACTTCTATTCTGCTGTTTTTCCAGTGCTGTTAAGTTACTGTCAATAAAAGTTAACACTGCCCGTGGATACCAGAGCTGGAAGGAATGCTATCCTTTGAACTGTTAGACAGCTTGTGAACCATTGCAGGAAGTGTTTATTTGGACGTAGCTTAGGGTAAGGTTAACAGCGGTCGAAAAACTCCAAAATAGAAGAAACAGGAAATAATCAGTGAATGAAAACTGTTTTTCTGTTGGGAGAAACTTAGAGCAGCAGCAGAGTGGGAGTATGGCATGACTCTGATGAAATTAGTGCAGTGGAACATTATGTATGTAATACTGAATTTATCAAAATAAACGACAAGGAGGAAGAGTGGAGTTCGCATTAAATAGAATCAACAGCAAACAAAACAGGAGCAGATAAGACATCAGGGAGGCTTCTCACTCAATTATGATGATATAAATATACGCATGGATTAGGAATAAAGGATTGCCTCTAATATAAACCTGTTTCAAATGAAGGCCTGATCCTCACTTCACCTCAGATTAATAAAAGGCCACTATTTGAAATATGTACAGTATATTTGAAAATTACATTTACATGACAGTGTTACATTCTGCTGAACCGTGCAGAGTTTGCAGGATTCCACTGAATCCAAACAGCAGCTGGCTTCCCATTGGTTGAAGGTGTGCTAGTAAAATCGATAGCCGCAGTGTTGCAATGAAAACCAGATTCTCAAAAGGACAACCCAGAAAAGCACCACAGCACACTCGAAACCGAGGTCTGAACCGAACTGTGGATTTGGTGCATCGTTACACCCCTACTGTGTTCTGATCTTTTTGCAAATGACACTTTAACCACATTTACAATTCAAAAATCTGATGCAAAACACTTCCACATTGAGACACAGGTATGGGTCATTGGAATTTCAAACAACACCACACATAACACTGATGCCACACCCGCACAGTATGTATTGTAAGCTGTGGCTGCAGCATGAAGCATGGCTGCACTATCAACATCTTATTCTCTAGGCTGCAGTTTGCTGTTTTGGGTCTTTCAGTTAAACTCTGATTTTAAAAACAACCGGGTAAGCCTGCTGTGTGCACACAGAGAAGACGGACATCATCCTACCGTTGATGATCAGGGGTGGACAGTCCATTCCTCTCTTCTTCATCAGGAACCGGATTGTCTGGAGTTGAGACATGATCTCATTCTTTTGCTCCTGGGCCACCGACTTCACACTGAAGAGGAAAGAGAGGATGAAAACAAACTACTCTGAGCATGCAGGAAGCACATAGCCCCTTAACTGAAAACGAATTACTAGTTGGTGGCTCAGGCAGTACGCTGGTCAGCTTAGCACGCTGTTAGCATGCTAGTTAGCTTAGTGGGCTAGTAAGCTTTACAGATTGTTTGGTTAATTTGTTGGCTAAATACATAAAATTACAATAAAAATCACAGTTACATATACAACTTATATACAACAAAAACCTGGATGAGGTAGATTAAAATCCTGGGTAAACCACCTTGTAAATCTCTGTGTATTAGGAGTTTTTAAATCTGGTGTCTGTGGCGACATTCTGGCGAACCAGTAGTGATGTGTTTTATGCCAACCAGCAGTGATCGGTTTGCTAGAGCTGAAGGGGGTAGCAACCAGAGACAGCAGCCCCTCAGTATGGCAGAGCCTATACGTCATAAGCTCGTGTTGACAGTCTTGTGTAATTACTCTCACCGTCAGAAGAGAGAAACAAAAGTTCCGCAAGTTTTAAAAAAAACGTTCTACATTTTGGGAAATATTCTTATTTGCTTTCTTGCCAAGAGTCCTTCCTTTGAAGGAGAGGGAGGGGCGGCTGTGGCTCAGGAGGTAGATACTGAACCCCGAATTGCCCCTGGCGGCTATTCCGCCAGTGTATGAATGAGTGTGAATGTTAGTTTCCGTTTGAGCACTTAGGCTCAGTGTATGAATGTGTGTGACTGGTGAATGCAGTGTAAAAGCGCTTTGAGTGGTCGAAAGGACTAGAAAGGCGCTATACAAGTACGGAGCATTTACATTTACATTTGAATAACTTCTCATGACAGTGTAAACACTAAAATCCAAACAAAGTAAGTTATTCTTATAATAAAATGTCTGCCAGGACTGAACACAAAAATAATTCTATATATATATATATATATTTTTGTGCAACACCCAAATTTGGAAAGAACTGGACATTATCATTTTCTACTACAAAGTCTTCAGATAATATTTTCTACTGTCTGAAACAGTATTATGGCATTATAGTATTTCAGAAGATACAAGGGTAACTGCCAGCAATCTTATTTATACTGCAGGCTGCTAACAGAAAAGAGATAAGGATGGACAGTAGTGGACAGAAAAGTGAGGCTCATAGTCAGAACCACAACTGTCAGAGCCGGACCGCTCAATACATTCACTATGCATACTGTGTAGGGTCCCACAAATTGCAAATGTTTACAACTTTGATGAATCTCTGTCTGTTACCTCTGTAAGTTAACCACATTGCGCATGAACATGCTTTCATATGTGCGTGCACAAAATGAAACTCGCTCATTCCAGCAGCGACCTCTGTGTGGACCCGTCTGTATTTTTACCAAAGTACTTGACTTAAATGGATTTATTTCATCACTAGAGTTATATGCAATAAAACAATTACAGGCAAATGTGTTTTTGCATCGGTGTGGGACAAAATAACTGAAATGATTTACAGACTGTACAGACAGCCACAGCCTGTAACAAAAGTCTGTGAGGTTAGTTTAAGCCAGGGGTTTTCAAAGTGAGACTGTGGGGCTACCGTCAGACAATGCTTGGGAAAATGCACTCTCCACCCTCCCTTAGTTCATGATTATGTTATTGATGCCACAGACACTCAACAATGGGACAGCGTTTCACCATATCTTGGAAAAATACAGCAAAGAAAAAGCTAGAAACGACGGATTTTACATACGAGTCAATGGAGCCTAACCTCAGTTAGAAAGAGTCCTATACTGCGCTGTGATTGGCCAGCAGCGTATTTGGGTCAATTGCGCTACTTTCGTAACATATTACTCCCAACACTGGTCCTAAGTCATGTTTTAGTTCCTGATTCTGTGAGTTAAAAATCCCCAAACCTATCATGTCTCTGAGCTACAGTATCTATTTAACCAAATCACACACATTCAGGCTGTTGTATGTGATCTCCTTTTGATAACTAAGGTAATATTTTCTCACTTCAATTCAGTGAGCCTTCCTCTCACTCATACTTGGCGTTAAAAAGAACAGAATACAGAAAACAGCCAAAGGTTAAATGACACATGGTGTAACGTTACGTTACCATGACAGCAGCAATGCAGAGATTACTTTTACAATTAAGTGACAATGAAGAAAATCAATTTTAAGAGACTACTAATAACAGAAACCTGTTCCTCATGTTGATAATCCTAATATTTCATGCTTTGCAGGGACAAACAGTAAATTTGCGGTGCTGTCTTGCTGCAGTCTTGGAAAAGTGCTCTGTTATGAGGCAACAGTTGTGCTGCAGTGAAGCAATTTCCAATTTTCAGAGATTACAGAGCACCACATTGTTGGGTCTCAAATACACCCAAACGTTAGGGGATCACACTTGGGGAAGTTTTGCAGGTGCGGCTTTTCTCCAGAGGAATCCCTGCTTAGACCGGGCACAGCACTTCACTGCAACGCACCGACGCGTGACGTATTTCTGTATTCAATGACGTGGATTACAACGATGAGGTGGAGCCCTACTCACCAGTTAGTGAGCGGGTCCAGCTGGGTGAGGATGGAGTTGAGCATCCTCTCCGTCTGCGCTAGCCTTTGTTCCAGCTCGTTCAACTGGTTCTCTGTACAAAAACAAACATACAGACACACAAGAGGATTACTCATGGTAAACAAATATCTGTTTGACCAAAGAAAACACAGATATGCAAATAGAAAACCCAATGCGTGCGATACACACCTGCCTCTACTGATTTTTTGGCTCCTTTTGCAAACTTGTCCTTTTGTGCCTCGTCATCTGCAGATTTGATCTGTGAGTTGAAAAGAATGAAGTGATACAGACTTTGCAGAGATCGCCTATCAAAGATGTAAATTCCCTCAGTGTAATTTGGTGTTGCAGGTGTCTTTACTTACCTTCAAAAACTTGTAAGCTGCAAACACTCCAACTCCGATAGCGTAGAGGGGCATCAGTGTGAACACGTAGCCCTTGTTGCTGTTGGACTTGTACTTGTCACTCTTCAGCTCTTGTTCCATCAGCTTCTTCATCTGCTGCATGTTCTCAGGGGTCTGAGCTGAACCGGGTGCGTTCACGTTGATGGGCTGACCTCTGACTGCGCCCGGGCCCGGACCTGCTGCTGCAAATACATCAGGAGGACAAAACAGACGACAGATGGTGAGGTTTCTGCCCGACCGTGACGCCGGAATCACACAGGAGGTGTGTCCACCATGCGTTTCAGCAGCGGAACGTTTAGCTTGCCCCACGTTGTTGTTTATTTGTCATTTTGTGTGCTTCTTCTACTGATCACAGCTCTCTGTGTGTAATAAAATGCATCAAGGCAAATTCTTTGTATCGAGGCTTCGTTTAATCCATGTAACTATACAGCACACTGTTTCACATGGACATTTCTTATAGTCGCACATCGCGCTTACGCTGTGAACACGACGTGAATATGATGGAGCTGTTTGCAAAGTGGAGGAAGAGAGAGAAAACAGCTAGGGCAAAAGAAGAAAGTCTCCAAAGTGTGGTATTATTTCAAGCTAAAGAAAACAACAACTCTGTAATGTTACCGTCTTGGCAACAGCACAACGGCACCGGAACAAAAAGCAGCTGGTGTTCTGCCAGCAGACCACAGACAAGGTAACAGTGACAGCAACTTTAGCAGTTAACTGAAATCATGACTGATTGTTGAGTTGAAGGCAAAGTAAGCTGCAGTCCTCAGCTGAAAATATGCACACGTGCGTTTGAGTTGTAACCTCACAGTCAAGAGTTAACTGGGTGTCGGGGAGCTGCACCTTTTAACTCCCCTCCAGCTCTCTCTGCATCTCAGACAATCCCTGCTACCTGCGTGTGCTAATCCATCCTTTCACCCAGATTCTTTGTCTTTATAACTGTTATCTTTATAATAACAAACAGCTGTTTCGTGTGCAGATCGCTCATTTCATGTATGTTTTCTTGACAAAACGTGGCTTGGAGACAAGTGTCGGGTGACAGAGCAGATCAGTCATGTAGTGTGAACGCCACAACGACTTCAAGACTCCCATCGCAAGATGGCAAGTTGTGTAGTGTGAACTGCACGGCCATCAGCCGACGCTGAAAGCCAAGCAAAAGTACTTCTTGAACGACGCATCGATGAATCGTTGAAATAATCTATAAAAGCTTTGAGTACTAAAATCATCGTTTTCAATTCAATTTTATTTATATAGCGCCAAACCACAACAGTTATCTCTGAGCGCTTTTCATAAAAGGGATAGAAAGCAGTTGCCAGACAGCTGTGTGACTTTCTACAGAGCAATAGTTAGAAAATAGGATTTTCAGTCAGGATTTATAGTGCATCATAGCACAGAGACAGCACTGGTAAAAATTACAATTCTAATTGCATCAGACAAAGGACTTTACTTGCTCTGTACTTGTATTATTAGATCTTAGTGCTGCATTCAATATCATTGACCACCATATCCTATTACAGAGACGGGAACATTTAATTGGCATTAAAGGAACCGCTCTGTGCTGGTTTAAGCACTATTGTTCAGATCAATCTCAGTTTGTAGATGAATCATTAGTGCACGCCAGAGTTCCACAAGGTTCTGTGCAGGGAGGACCAATCTTGTTCACCTTATATATGCTTCTTTTCTATTATCAGGATATGGGTTACTTGTGGTTCTTAAGAGTGTCCAAGAGTCAAATGAGAGGGAGGCAGACACCATCTCCACATTTAAGAGTAGGCTTAAGACTTACGCCTACTGTTGTTATTGCATTGACTGCTTCTCTCTCTTTTTAGCTCATTGTTTTGGTTTTCACAAACTACACTTTTACTGTTTTGATTCCCTCTCAAAATCCTCATAGAGGAGTTTCCAGAAGAAGCAGGCCAAACATACCCAAAAATGAAAGTGAATATTCAATATATAATATTAATTTCAGCAGGTAGACGCAGAACAAGAGTTCACATTAATGCCAACATTGCTTCCGGCCTGTTTGCTAAATGTTTGCCATGTCAACTTAACAGGTCAATGTTGCGTTTACAGTTTGTTCCGCATCCTCAAGTCCTTCAATGAAGATATTGAGAGATAAGACGGTGTATCAGTGTACCCCCACTGTGAAGCCAGGACAGTTAAGGTCATTAGGAAGGGAACAAATTACCCCCTTTATGCGCAGTAAGATGTATAAGATTAAAAATCCTTACAAAATATATTTCATGTTACTTTATGGTCAATGGTCTATGAAAGGAACAAAATCTCTTGGATTGCTCCTTCTTAAAAGTGTGATCCAGTCCAGCTGACTGATATAGCCAAATGTAATGGTTTTGTGCTGACCAAACTGAACTTGAATGGGGTGGCTGTTTGGTCCCCTCTGACATCAGCAGGCCTCAGCTCCCCCAATAGCTGATGGACCACACCTAACAGAGAGGAACCAATCCACGCCAGTGATATGTCTTAACCCTGAGTATGGCTTCCCGGTGTGGGACTAAAAAGAACATGCAGTCTAAAAAGTAAAACGCAGAGTGGCATCATCTAATCTTGTTGCGGATTTACACCTTACAGGGAAAGATATGATTGATTATAGATAATGTAGCTTGTTTTTACTTATCTTCTATCTAATAGATGGAGTTTATTAGACGTTCATGGCGCTGAACAAAAGTGTGTAATCACGCGTGGACTTGTGCTACAAACTCTCTTCTGACTTGACCATAGCATGTAAATGTCGTCTTCTTCTTTCATGACCTTTATTTTTGAAAACCCTGTCAGTGCACGTAGCTATTCCAAGTTAGCAGACCAGTGAGCTCAAGGCAAAATGACATAGCCTAACTTGCATGGTGACAAGCTTGGGCACATGCGCCAGTGGTGTGTGTAATTTCCCACTGCGACAACAGAAAGATGTCCTACCTTTTCTGGTGTAGCGAGGGTCAAATCTAGTTTCCTTCGCCCCGGCCCCGCCGCCGACGCCAAACAACCTGGGCAGGACGACGAACGTGAAGAGCACGGCCGTGAAAGCCAGGGCGACTTGTTGTGACGTTGACAAAACCATCCTCTCGTGAACACACAAACGGGACGGGACACCCGCCGAAAAGGAGCAACGCCAGCCGCTAAATGTGTGGCTAAAGACACGGGAGACAGTTAGGAAACGCTCAACTGACAGGCTAATATCCAGCGAAAGCAGTGTGATGAGACCTAAACTGTGCGGCTCCGAACAGCTGCTCCGCTGCAATAACAAGAACCGGACTTCCGGAAAGGACGCTTTCAGAATAAAAGCGCCAACTGGAAAAACTTGTGCCACTGATTCACAAAAGTCAAACTGCCTGGGGCCAGACGTTTTTTTTAGATTTGTTAAATTAATATGGTATTAATAAGAGAAAAACGAGTCGGGGTGGTGGCCTATTTCAATCAAATAACAATTTGCAGGAAACGTAATAAGCATAGGCCTACAAGGACTGTGAGAGAGCTTTGTTTCAAATCTAGCACTCTGCGCTCTAGTGGGCAGAGGAACAAACATGCAGTTGATGTCTGTTGGACCCTTAAGGGTTTTCTGGGAAGCTGTGGCTTCGGTTAATGCTGGAAATTGCACTTGAGTGGTTTTAAACACACCCTTCTGTCAAGGCTGGTGCTATATAAATAAATAAACAAAACCATCTCTATCTCTGTTTCAAACTGTAGCACTTGAATCAGTTCAGCATATTTGTTGAAACTGATGTCCACATGGTTGAAATGCACTTATTGTTAGTCGCTTTGGATAAAAGCGTCTGCTATAAATGTAATGTAACGTAATATGAGGAGGCCTACAATATTGTTTTGAGATATTTCAGTATTCGGTGGCACACCAGTAAAAGTATCAAGGAGCTGTCAGGGGAAGTATGCTTATTCTGTCTTACTCAGGAAGTAAGTTTCTGCTGCAAGGGGGATATTAAAATACCACACAGAAGTCCATTAACAGACCATGTGAAATCCAAAGGAACGGGAATACTGAGGAACTTAAAACTACATGGACAATTTCCACCTTGTCTCCTGTGGTGAGGACAAAGTGGTTTCAGATGTCTTTTTTAAAAGTCTATAATGAGTTATTTTTATTTTCCAGGTGATGGAGGCTAGGTTGATGCAGAGCACCACATTGGATTCTGATCTGTTTCTCTGTGGGCTGACTCACTCTCTGTAGAGATCAAACCTAGTGCCCTGGTAGCAGTCTACCGTATGCAAACATTTTGCAAAATACGCTTATTTGCTTTCTTACCAAGAGTTAGATGAGAAGATCTGTACGACTCTCAGAATCGTCTGTTAAATATGAACGTACAGCCAGGAGATGGAACTTACTCAAAGCAGAAACATGGCTCTCTCCAAAGTAAAAACAAATCTGTCAATCAGAATAATTAAAGCTCAACAATTAACATGTTTAATTTATACAAAAACCTCTGCGAGGTTGCACAACTCTGCACCCAGCCAAGAATTTGTTGATCCATCTTTGTTGTAACTTTGGTGATGATGGTGACTCAATTGTGTGATGATTATATTGTAGGTACCAAATCGGTGCTGCTCCCTACACAGATAGGGATCCGGCAGGCAAAAGTGGTCCTGTCTGTCAAATAAGGTTACCACTAGATCACTTTTAACAAATGACAAGGTTTTGAGCTTTTATATTTTATTTCAAAACTGCCTTTTATTGCAAAGATTCTAGAAAGAATTGTGTCCAAACAGCTGCTCACTGTACTGGAAAATAACAAAATATTTGAAAAGTTTCAGTCTGGTTTCAGGAAGTACCACAGCACTGAGACTGCCCTGCTTAAAGTCGCCAATGACCTTTTAATGTCTGCTGATGAAAGCATGTGCTCAGTCCTGGTACTCCTGGACCTTAGCGCTGCTTTTGACACCACTGATCACAACATCATGTTAGACAGACTGAGGTGGGGATCTCTGGTACGGCCCTAGAATGGTTTTCATCCTACCTGTCAAATAGGAAGTTTTGTGTGTCTGTAAACAAGTATGTCTCTTTGTTCTGTCCAGTTAAATATGGTGTGCCTCAGGGGTTGGCCTTTTCATATTTATGCTGATGACAAACAAATGTACTTGCCCGTCAGATCCACAGACCCTGGAATGCTGAGTTCACTTAACAACTGCCTTTGTGAAGTAAAAAAATGGATGTCATATAATTTCCTCCAGCTGAACTCAGACAAAACAGAAATCCTGGTCATCGGGTCTCAGCAGATGGCAAAACAAATACTGCCATCTGCTGGTTCCCTAGTAAATCACATTAAGCCTGTGACAAAGAACCTTGATGTTTGGTTTGATAGTAATTTAAATTTCGAGCAGCACACCACAAAGCTTGTTCAATCATGTTTTTATCAACTTAGAAATATAGCAAAAATTCGATCTATGTTAACTTTTAAGGACACCGAGACCATTTTACACGCCTTCATCTCATCATGCCTGGATTATTGCAACAGCCTTTTCACCTGTTTAACCCAAAAATCTATTAATCGACTCCAGACTGTCCAGAACTCAGCTGCCAGGCTTTTAACCAGAACAAAGAAATATGACCACATTACTCCTATTTTAGCTTCATTACACCGGCTCCCAGTATGTTTTAGAATTGACTTTAAAATTCTATTGATCACTTTTAAAGCTCTTCATGGCCTCTCGCCTTGTTATATTTCTGACCTTTTAGTCCCATACACACCAGCACGTACCTTGAGATCCTCGGGCAGAGGTCTGCTGTCTGTTCCAGAGTCTCGACTGAAAACTAAAGGGGACAGAGCGTTTGCTGTCAGGGCCCCGAGGCTCTGGAACAGCCTGCCGAGGAAATCAGGTCAGCTGAGTCAGTGAACTCTTTTAAGTCCCTTCTTAAAACATACTTTTATAGGAGAGCTTTTCCCGATCTTATTTGACTTTATTTTATCCCTTTTATTTTATTTTACTAATTTTATATTTATCTTAAATGTGTATTTTAGTCTTTTCAATGTTTTAAAAATTATATGAAATAAAAGCAAATACTGTGACCGCAACTCTACTGTACACTAACAATGTAATGTCTAAAAAACCCCTTTAACACTGATAGTCGCAAATTTGTATCACACCTCTTCCTTTTAGACTGCAGCTGAGATAGCATATGTATTCCCCCAATGCCTGTTTGCGCATATTCAAGAAGTACCTGGGAACCTTTTGCAAGCCCTGGTTTCTCGTTAATGCCTGTTGTCGCTAATTTGGATCGTACATAATTTTTTTGTAATATTTTTTAAGTGACGATACGGCGGAGCTAACGGCCGTGTGTGGAGCTAGCTAGCTTGCTTAGCTAAGTGCATCTGTAACTCACATCATTTTAACAGGGCTGATAACTTTGTCTTAAAACTAAATGTATTCACCAGAGAAAGTGAACAGCCAACTCCTAATAAGCTTTTTCAATGGCACTGGTTAAATTTACACAGTGCCGTGGGTACGAGTCACTCTAGCCTGACAGGTCACCATGGTAACGACTTGTCAATCACAGATAATCCCGCACTGAAACATACTCTGCTTTATGGTCTATTTTAAAATAAATAGGACCATAATTTACTAAATCCACATCATTTTGTATTGACTTGAAACTAGCGACTGAGACCATAAACTCATTATCAAAGTGTTTACTGAGGTAATTATTCAGCTGTAGGGTCATTTTACCATTATTTCTAAGGGAGCCGGACTTCTTTTTGCAACCATAAGTCGCCCCTTGCTGGATTTTCAATAGAATGCAGGTTTCAGGGACTTCCGCATCGGCTTCATATTGTAGACCAGAAGCTTCCCGCTTGGTACGAACGTTAAAACTATCATAGAGCTGTGGGTCTTTACTCTGCCGTTGTTGCTGGACTCTTGCTGTGTTGGCTGCAGTGGTCTGCATGTCTGTTGAAGGCTCTGTGAGCTGACTGGCCGGCCAGCTCGCTAGCTTCCCCCGCTGATAGTTGTGGAGCGTCACAACTCCGAAAACCTTTGAGCACATTTTGGATTCGCCATAATTTTTAGTAAAACTGTCAATATTCGACATCTACACAGCTGATTTCTCGCGGTAAATCTTCTCAGAAGTGGATTTAGCGATGAAATAGTTTTAAAAAATGTTCTGTTGTTGGCCTCTCTCTCAGCTTCTTTCCGCCCCTCACTTGAATGCTGGAATGAATGCTGGGATATCTGTGCTGTCAAGTTCACACAAGTTACGAACTGATGCATCCTCGGTAAAATGGGCGTGTCAAGAACACTTTTTAACTTTTAACCTTTCTTGCCAAAATGATAACTTGTGTATTGGGACAGTATTGAGAACACAAGCAAGAAGGTGAAACCAATTGAGGGGACCAGACAGGACCAGACCCAAATGCAGAAACACAAGGCACTGGCAACTAAACGTGTAACCAGTAGCTGAATGTGGTTACGCCTCCACGCTGTCTTGCAGACTCTGTGTACTGATGCCAGCTCATGAACACAGCAGCCGGACCCGAGCACAGACTTTCAAGACCGACAGAGGCCAGTTTGACCAGTGGGAATACAGTACGAAGGTGGTCCGAGTTACCAGTACGGGCAGAGTAAGCTAATTTGATCAGTAGCTGTAGGCTAACTGAGCTAATTAGATAATGGCAGCTAGTTAGCAGCAGTTAGCTGACTTGCTACAGCAACAAGTAAAGCTATCTGTCCATCAGGGACCTCCTTAATCACAGAGTTGAGGCAAAGCAGCAGGGGAACAAAAGAGAGAAAACCAGATAATAGTTTCCATCTAATATGATACAGTTTCAGCAAAATCAGTGAATAAAGGTGTGCTTTTGTTCACTAAGCAGTGGTGCCCGTCCCAGAAACACTATTTTTTAGCAGCTGATTCATCAACATTTTAAAATCGTTTTTCAGAAAATGACACTCTAAAATATCAAAGAATACCTACAAAACATTCATCTTCTTTATTTGCGTATTTGGTATTAAAGTAATCCAAAAGTAACTAAAAGTAATCAGGTTACCTTACTTATTACTTATTTTCTGGTACTTGGATTATGTTGCTGGTTACATTTTTTAACAAGTAATTAGTAATTGTAACGGATTCCATTTTTAAAGTAACCCTCCCAATTCTCCTCTCAACATTTTTTTTTCTTCTTTTGTGTGTTTTTTTTTTATTATCCTCTTCAACAAAGCTGTTGTGAAGAGATTCAGAGGAATCCATTCACACATTTCCTGACGGCTCTTTCAAAGGTTCTGAAATAACCGTCAGGAAATGTGTAACATTAAATGGATTCCCCTGAATCTCTGAATGAGAAGCTCAGGAATTTCCTCTACCTAATGGTGGGGAAATGAAAAGTCCATAGGGTGATGGATGTGGACCAAGCCGCTTAGAGCTTCCATTCAGATACCAGATAATAGAAAAAACACAAGAACTAAGGCAGGCACAGATCATAACCAAACAAGACAGGAGACAGACTGAAACAGCATTAAAGGCACCAAACACAGAGCAGACTAAAAAACTAATAATACAGATAGACTACAAACATAACAGGGAAAACAGACTGAAACTAGGACCAAACAGAACACAGAGAAGACAAGGCCAAAACAACACAAAGTGTGAACAGAGTAGACCAGGATCACTAAAATGACCCTAACCATATTTGCTGCATATAGTCGAATGGTAAAAACTTTTTTCATAATAGTAAATGATTGGATATACCACACTGTTCTAAATCTAAAGATCTTGTATTTCATAGGTTTATGTTTACATTTCCATACAATGTTCTAGAGTGAAAGTAATCTGCTGAGAGGGGTTGAAAAGTACACCAATACAATGTTGAAACAGAAAATATTTATTTGGCAAAACATTACTGTGGTAATAGTAGCACAGTGTTGTATACAGTAGCGGTAACAGTACAGCAGTTGCAACCGGTTAAAATTTCTGTGTTCTAAATAGTGTGCAGTGTTTTGAAAAAGGTGTTTTATGCAATTGAAAACTGTGCGGAAAAGGCTGAGAAATAGCTTATGGTTTTGGAAATTTGGTGTGCAGTTTTGCTCTTTGAGTGAGAGGTTTCAAAGATCGTGTGACATGTAAAGATTCCAACCCTAATCCAAGATGTCCAACAGGAAGTAAATCCAAACTAAATCCACAAAGGCACGAGAAACACTGGAGTACATAGGCATGGAGAACACTAGGCATGAAAACAATGAACTGGCACAGAGTGAAGGGGCAAACCACTTAAATACAACAGGTGAGGGAGCAACTAACGAGACACAGGTGAATCCACTAAAACAATCAGAGACAGCCAACACAGGAAGCAAAGAGAGACAGTGACACATGAAGCAGACAAAATTACAAACTAAAACAGGAAGTATCTCACATAATACACAAGGCATGAAATCACAAAATAAAACACCTTGACAAAAACTACCCAAGCAAAGAACACAGACAGATACTAAGTAAACTTAAACATGCAAATGAACAAAAGAATAAACTAGACTACGAAATCCCACACATGAAAGACTAAACACAGGGAAACAAGAACACACAACCAGAACACAAGTGAAACCCAGAAATTTCATAAAAACATAAGAACTTATGCTATAATAGCAGCTCAAAATCTATACTGAAACAGCTAATAAGCATTTCTAAATCAACCACAGCTGATTCCAATTTCAACCAGCTGTTGACGTTCTTTAAATTACATACACAATGCAGTAAAAACGGGACTTTGTGGAGTTGAGTTTCAACACAGAAGAGGAGAGAAGAATAGTTAGGGGCCAGGGAGAGGAGTAGCTGAACCAGGGCAAGTGTTTCTATCCAAGTGCATAGTGAGAGATGACATTAGATTTGATGTCTGTAAGAACATGTTGCCAAATGCTGTAGACCATAGGGATTAGCAAAGTGACTGTGCATTTTTGTCTCCTTCCCTTCTGTGTATTTTCTTTCTACATGTAAATAGGCCACAGGTAAACATGTAAATATGGTCATTGCAAATGTAGTGAACCTACACCTGGAAATATTACCACAAGCACTTGTAAAGGGGGTGTCACCTAAAAAGAATAGCTGTCTGCCCAAGGCTTTTAGGACTCCTTGGGTATAGCTTAATAATTACAACAAGTGTTACTAGTGATCAGTTAGTTCTTAATTGTTCAATTATTTTTAATTAGTTAGTTTAAGCAATCAGTCTCAGTTCTGAGGATGAGTCCTCCATGCATTGACCTGGGTTAATTACAGTTTTTTGCAATTGCTTAAACACTATAAGCAAGCCTTTGAACTAAAATTTCAAAACCATAGTTCCATTTTTTTTTTCAAGAAGAACACCCATTTCTCTAAACTCTACACACAAATCCCTTCATTTCTCATTGCCTACACCATGTGGTCACTGAGAAAGACCTGACATTCAATATTGTTCACTCAATCAGCACAGCTTGAGCTCAATTAGCACACAGCTACCCAGATGGAAACACAAACGGTCATAATTGATAATGCACCAATCAGAAGCTTCCACAGATAAAAGAGCCAGAGTCAGTTCATTCAGTTTTGGAACAATGGATCCAGAGAAATCTGAAGGAAAGTGTAGGACACCAGAGAGGAGGAGGAGTAAGAGGGGGAGGACGAGCATTATGGAGAGGAGTAAGAGATGAAGGAAGAGGAACAGTAAGAGTTGGAGGAGGAGATGAGATAGGAGGATGAGGAGGTGGAGGAGGCAGAGCAGGAGTAGGGCAGAGAAGGAAGTGGAGAACAAGAATCTCTGGCGAGATGTCTATGAAGATTCTCAGTCATCCAGGTCATAGTTATCCAACGTTATCCAGTTGCCCTTGATTTTAACCTTCGTTGGATAAGAATCTCTGGCCTGTCCCAGACCAAAGATAGGACGCTGGGGCAGAATAGTTGTTGTTGTTTGGTGTGTTGTGCTGTACAGCACACTAAGGAACGAAAAATGTGCACATGTACATTTGTTCTTTCTTTTGTATTCATGTGAAAGTTTTGAGGGGGATAACCACAAGCAACATTACTAATAACCAGTTTTTGTACATTTTGTTTTGAATTTATCTCAACAGTGTGTAAGACTGTGTTGTGGTGTGTGTGTGTGGTTGGTTTTTTTTTTTTTTTTGAGGGTCTTGAGTGTTATGTCTGAGGGCGAAGTTTGGTTTTTGAGCAAGATTGAATGGTTTTGTGTGGAGAGCTATCGAGAAACTGTAAAACAGTACCAACACATTCCCGTGATCAAAGTGAATATTTGTCAACTAACTAAAGTGAATGCAAGTGAGGGTAAATATGGATATAAAGTAAACAAACAATGATTAAAACATCCACCAGAATGCAATCAATGGGAGACAGAACAGAAGTAATAGGGTATCTGGGCATCTCCTCAAGCCTTCCCTCCGGGTACCATCCCCAAACCAACGGCCTGACGGAGAACGTTAACCAGGAGATGGAGACTGCACTACGCTGCGTCACTGCATCCCACCCAGCATCCTGGGGTTCCATGCTCCCTTGGGTTGAATATACTCACAACACCCTCACCAACGCATCTACGGTATGTCGCCCTTCCTGTGTGCTCTTGGTTATCAACCCCCTCTGTTTCCCTCTCAAGAACAGGAACTCGCAGTCCCCTCGATCCAGGCTCACATGCGGCGCTGCTTCAGGGTGTGGAGGAGGACTAGGGCAGCCCTGATCCACGCATCCAGCACCATGCAGAGGCAGGCCAACTGTCGTCGCCACCTGGCCCCCACCTACACTGCGGGGCAACAGGTACGGCTCTCTGAAAAACCCCTCCCCCTCAAGGTCTACAGCAGGAAGTTGGCTCCCCATTTCATCGGCCCATTCCAGATTGTAGTCTAAAACTGCTCCGGTCTCCTTTCTAGCCTTCTATCTTTTGATCCCGTGTTACTGAACCTTGCTTAACGCTGTTTTTTTTGTGTGTATTGACTCCCGTCGTCACTCCACTCCTGCTCCATCTGGATTCCCCCCTCACTGGACCTGCCCTTGGACAGTCCCTTGGATCCCTTGCCCTCTTCCCTGCACCTTTTTAAGTATTTCTGAAATTAAAGTTACTCACCACTTCTGCCTCCGTATGCTGAGTCTTGCATCCTACAGTCCTGACAAACCCTAACAAGAGAAGAGAGAGAGCCCACCCGAAAGTAATGTCTTAAAGCCCTATTTGCGCATATTCCAATCATCTCTTTCCATAATATCAACACTTTATTACAGTTTTTTTCCAATTGCTAACACACTAAAATGACATGCACAGCATGATTATTTAAACGGCCACACAGAGAGCAACACTTCTTCTCAAGTCTCAAAGTCTAAACACATTTTCTGCTTTACACACATTTTGCATATCAAAATGCCACTGAACACGGTTCTCTGCATAAGACACAACAATCTGACAAAGTCACATGTTTGCCCTTTCAAAACCCTACCATTCAAAATTACACTACATGAGCTAATTGGCTAATTACATGTGTCACCTGGCCAAACACCTCAATGGTTAATTGTTAACACTTCAATCAGGATGTAAGCACTATGAAAAGACCAAAAGGTAAGCACTTTTTTTTTTTACAACAACAATGGAAGATGTTGCAGAGAGAGGAAGAGGGAGGTTGAGAATAAGAGGGGGAGGAAGAGTGAGAGGTAGAGGGTAGAGCAGGTAGAGGATATCATGGCCAAAGAAGACAAAAACGCTTTCAAATTAAATCAGAGCAACCTTAGTTGATCATGTCATCAACCATGGGCTGACTATGCGTGAGGCTGGACAGAGAGTGCAGCCAAACTTGAGCCGTTTTGCTGTCTCCTCTGTCATCTGGACCTTTAGACTGGAAAACAGGTATGTAACCAAAATTTCATGTAGTACACCCCATGTCATAGTGTATCATTGGGTGACACCTGTTTACTTAGTGTATGACCAATGTATGATCAGCCATTCATGAACTGTAAAAGTTTCCTGTACAATGTACTCTACTGTGGGGGAAAACTATTTAGGCTGCATTGTCCAAGCCCTATATATTTTTTTTATATTTTTTCTAAAGGACTGAGAGACGACACCCTGGTGGAGGGAGGGGCCAAATGTTCACCGGGGTACAGGAAGCTGGCATTGTAAACTTGGTTTTGGAACATAATGAAATCAGATTACGAGAAATTCAAAGCCACATCATCCAAGACAACATCTTATTCAACAACATTCAACGAGTCAGTCTGTCCACATTGGCTCACATTCTCAAGCGAAACAAAATCAGAATGAAACAACTTTAAGGTGCCGTTTGAGAGAAACTCTCAAAGAAACAAAGAGGTCAGACGAGCATATGCGGATGTAAGTACTATATTGACTGCAGTAGACTACACGCAACATTGTTTCCCAGTGTACTGGATAACACTATTGACTGATCTTTGTTTTCAGGGAATGTGATGAGATTGATGTGGGTGCAATTCAGGGATGGATAAGGCACTCAAGGCGCTTCTTCCCTCGATGTCTGGCAAGGGAAGATATTGCCTGTGATGTTGACGAGGCGTTGTGGCCAGACCCGGCTGTGCGAGAAGATCCTGCCTAATTATTTTTCTTGCCTTTTTTTTTTTTTTTTTTTTTTACTGTAATATATTTTTTCTGAAATTTTCTTTTTCAGTTTACTGTTTTTGTAAGAATACTTTTGTTCAGTCCCATGTAAATATTTCTGCTGTGCATATGTTGCACTGACTTGTTTACTGTAGTGAAAAATAAAATAAAGTTTCAACAGCATGTGTGTTTCTGCAAATATTTCTGTGCATGTGAACAATCTGATACATATTTTAGTATTATGGCAAAGCATACTAAAGATGGGGGTGCTTTTCATTATGCCTAACAGTGTGTAGTTGGTTAGGCAAAAATCTGGTAATGTGAATGAAGTGTGTGCCATTTCATGCAAAAGTTTGATTTTGATAATGCTATGTGTAGTTTCGGTTGCAGTGCTTCATTTTGCAGGATATGAGGTATTTTTTGTGTTGGGTGTGTGGTTTTGTGAATTGTGTTAAGTATTTTGATAAAACCAGACTAGTTTGCAAAATTGTGTGTTAGCAATTGGAAAAACTGTAAATGCCATAGGCAGTTATACCATTATTAAATTCTTAAGCATTAGATAAAGGAAAGAAAGTATCTTAGTTAATCATCCAAAATGCTTAGAACGGTTACAGTTAAATACAATTACAGTTTTGTACAATTGCTTACACACTAAAATGTTATATAACACATTGTCAGTGAAACCTTAGACTCAGGGAGCAAAACTACAGCCCAGATCTGCACAATTATAAGCACATTCTCGGCCTCACACCTTTTGCAAAATACTTAACACACACAGGCTACATTAGACACAAAAATCTAACTCAATGTCTCATCTTTGTGATGTTAAGACATTACTGTCTAAAATGCCACACCTGTGAACTAATTGATCAAACATTGCCATCAGGTGTGCAGACAATTAGGTGCACAATTCTAAACTCACCAATCAAAAAGGCAACAGGTGTGTTTACCTGTCAGCCACAAAAAATTGGAAGGTAATGTTCCAGTAAGAGGAAGAGGGAGACCTCAAATGATATTAGAGCAACGTTGATTGACCATGTTGAAACCATGGGTTGACATTCAGAGAGGCTGGACAGAGAGTTCAGCCCAACTTGAACAGAAATACTGTTGCAACAGTAATTTGGAATCCTTAAAAAACATCACACACAGATGAAACAACTCTACAAAGTGCCATTTGAACAAAATTCGGAGATAGTAAAAGACCTGCGGCATGAACATGTGGAAGTATGTACTGTAATGCACACTGCCCAAATAACCCTTTGTCAAGTAAATCTATAGTAGGCCGACATTGAACAACACATTGTCTATCTTTCAGAGTTTTGCAAATGGAAGCTGTTGCAATCCAGCATGAATTTATCTTCGTAGATGAAGCTGGATTTAACCTGACTAAAGTAAGAAGAAGGGGAAGAAACATCACCGGACATAGACTTATTCTCAATGGGCCGGGCCAGCGTAGTGGTAACATCACCATGTGTGCTGCCATCTCCCAGAATGGGGTCCTCCACCTCCATGCACATTTGGTCCTTACAACAGGACCGTTAATCATGTTGTTCAGACAGACTGCACAACATCATCACAGCTGAAAACCAAATGGATGCAGAGCAGATGGGGTACATTATCTTCTGGGACAAAGTATCTTTCCACCGATCTGCTTTTGTCCAAAACTGGTTTCATCAGCATCAACAATATATACTCCAATACCTCCCGCCATACTCTCCCTTCTTTAATCTTATTGAGGAGTTTTATTTCGGCATGGCGGTGGAAAGTTTATGACCTCAAGCCCTATATCAGGATGCCCCTCATTCAAGCTATGGAGGATGCCAGCAACCAAATGGATGCAGCATCTGTGCAAGCGTGGATTTGCCATTCAAGACGATACTTCCCTCGCTGTCTTGCGAGAGAGGACATAGCCTGCGATGTGGATGAAGTGCTATGGCCAGATCCAGCCAGGCGAAGAGATAATTATACATTTTTAGTTTTTTGTACTGTACTTCATGCTTTCTTTTTTGTTTCCACATTTGGTTTTGCTGAAATTAAACATGTATCAGTATGCTGTACTGTGTGTGCTATGTTTGGTCAATATATCCAATACTCTAACTCTCTGAAAAGTAGTCATTTGAAAAGTAGGAATTTTAAATGTGTTTTAGATCGAGCATAGCAGTGTTTAACTGGTTCAAACAGAATTAGATCATTTGAACCATGTGTGTGCCACACGGTGACAAAATCGGATTTGTATAAATTATTGTATATTTTTGAATGAAGTGTTTCATTTTGCAAACTACCTGAGGTTTTCTGCTACTTGTGTGAATAGTTCTGTGAATTGTGTGTAGTGTTATGACAAAATAAGCCCTGCTTTCAAAATCATGCTTAAGCATTCAAAAAAAACTGTTATAATAATCATAGCAGATGAACAGAACAGCCTAACTAAATAACTTTCAAGACAATATTGATTGTTAAACGTTCTCAATAAGAAAATACATAAAAGGTAGTTGAAGCACGGCATCAGTTTAAACAATAAAACACGGACAGTAATAGATAAATGAGCACAAGGACATGAAGTAAAGAGCTCTTCAAATTAACTTTCCTATGATTCTTTAGCTTTCAACATAGTTTCTAAACAGGTAAACAGGGTAAATAATCTAGTCAAAATTGAAGAGGAGAGGGCCCCTACCTGACTTAACAAAGACTATTTAACTAAACGAAGTAAATAAAACACACACACACACACACACATATATATATATATATATATATATATATATATATATATATATATATATATAATGTGTGTATATATATAATGTATAATGTGTATATGTGTGTGTGAGTAGGCATTCTCTGTTCATAAAACAAATTTGAGGTTATGTGTTTTTCTCCAGCCAGGCAGTTTAAATGTCTGTTTATCTTATCCGTTAATAAATAAATAAAGGAATGAGCAGTGTGTGTGTGTGTGTGTTGAAGTCTCACTTTCATGGCTTCTGACCACTCAGCCTTTGGTGGATGCAGGACTGCAGGAGTAAGGCCGGGTTAACGTGGTTGCTTGACCTTTTTGTCCTCCCGGAAAGTGTTGGCAAGTGGCACCTTTACAGCAATAATAGAATAAACATTTTAAGTTTGGTATTTCTGCTTGACTTTATGCAGGGGTCCTTATCTCACATGAAAGGCTGTGCCCTTCCTGTGTATGTGGGAAAGGCTCAGTCTTTGAATGAAGCCAGATCTGTAATAAGAACAGGCGTCATCTCCTTCCACTGATTGTTCACTACACAAATAACTGCATCACACCCAGAACTACAGAACCACATAATGGCTGATAACACAATGTTCCAAAGCATCAACAGAATCAGTCTCTCTGCACTGGATGAAGCAGCTGAATCGAGTCCCATCCAAAAGAGACTCAGATTGTATAAAACTACTAAAGGATACACATCCATTTGGGCACCTGTTTGTATGTGAGTTTTACTGTGCTACATGCATGACAAACCCTTATTGCAAAAAGTGTTTTACATTTACTATCAGTGCATAGTTGCTGCCTCGTGTGCTTACTCAAAGACGTTTGTGTGTACTGGACTGATGTAAAAAGAAGTTTTAAAAGAGTTTGAAGAGTTTTGCTTGGTTTGCTTTTCCAAGAGATGTATAATGTTTTGCTGTTTTGGTTTAAGGTTTTGTGATTAGTGTGTTAAAATTGCAAAATTAGTCAATAGTTACAAAAATTGTGCCTAAATAATCAGAAAAAAAACTGCTATGTCGCTTTTTCAATGCTGGTACCAACTCGCCTCGGCTCGACTCTACTCAACATGCTTTTGGCCCGCTGTCCTCCGTTTCCCTTTGCAGATAGTTCCCCCTCAGTGTAGCTGGCCTTCATAGAAACGAAACTACCGCAACGTAATGTTCAACGTGACTTGGACCAAAGTGGGAAAACCTTACATTTTGCAACCATGCGTTACACACAACACCAAATGTATACACGCATTTTCAGCTTTGCACTTTGAGATGAATTCCTCAACACACATGGTGCAGAACACCACACAGTTTCTTACATTAAACACTTTCTTCAAGAATTAAAACTATTGCAATCATTGGGAAAACACTTCCACTCGAAACCCTCCCACACACACAACAGTAATTGAAAACCAAATAGTCACAGCTGTAGCGCCACAAATAGACCTCTGGTAAGCTCAGCTCTTTTGTGAGAAATTTGCAAACATGCAGGTAGAAAGAGCAAGAGGAGGACAAAAATGACAACAAAGAAGGGCACCAGGCAATTTACATAGACATATTTCTGATGAAATTAGGGCCACTTTGGTGGACCATGCCATCAATCATGGCCTGACTGAGCAGAGAGTACAGCCCCACCGTAGTCGCTACACAGCAGGCATAATATAATATTTAGACAAGAGAACGGGTATGTCTTCATCTTTCTGTACTAGACTGCGCAGTACCTATAATTGCTGCTCATCATTCTGCATCACTGTACAGTACAATGTAGTCCTAGAATATAGTATTATGTCTATGCTGCTCGGTGAACAAAATAAATTGGTATGGTGCGGCCTATGTGTTATACGATGTGTACAGTATGACAGTAGCCTACTGTAAGTAAAAAAAGAACCTAACCAATGACATAATTCTTGCATTTTCTACAGAACTGCTAGACAACATATAGAGTGCCTAACTCCTTCGCTTATGTTTCTGCATCATGGACCTATAAACAGGAACTGGCCATTTTCAATCCAGTGATAAGGCATGCAAGACAATATTTTTATTTTTAGTATTTAGCAGGGAGCACATCACTTATGTTGTGGAGGAGGTGCTTTGGCCGACTCTAATAGAAGGCGTGATTCATAGAACTATTCACATGCAGAGGCCTGTATATTTACTATATACTATTTTATAAATAAAACGTCTCTGCTTTTGTGTAGAATTTTTTAACACTATGGGCCAAAATCTGTATTTTGTATGTTAACAAAAACTGTAACACAGAAACGCTATAAGTACTGCTGATGTACTGCGGTAAGTGTGTTGACTTATTTCCGTTTCCGGTGCTTGTGTGTTGGTTCCATGTTGTGCTGCTCTCGCTAAATAACAGTTACATTTGTTAGAAGCACTCACAGTTCTTTCCATCTTTTAGTGACTGCTGTTCAATCTCATAGTTGTTCTAAAGTTTTGGTAGCTGACGCTACAGTACT